TCATTCCTGAGACCACAGATTTATAGCAGCAACTCTGGTCTTGGACTCTTAAAGAGAAAGTAACTGCATAATCTCCATGTTTTAATTTTTTGTTAATTGAAAAACTAATGCCGTTTTAGGTGTCAAATTGGTTTGCTAATGCTAGACATCGGTTGAAGAACACTGTTCGTCAGCCAGATTTAAGCTGGGCTTTAAGAATAAAGTTATACAACAAGTACATGCAGGGCAATGCCGAGCGGCTCAGCGTGAGCAGCGGCGACTCCTGCTCTGAAGGTTTGTTCAGGTTTTTATTTTCCTGCCTTTGCTTCGCCATTGTAATAAGCTCACCCTAGATGCCGTCTTAATGGTTGACCCCACAAAATAGTGTAGTACCACAGATCTGTTTTTTTATTGCATTAGGTAACCTCACCTTTACAGTTTTATAAAGCAACAGGGATTATAGCTATTTCCTCTGTTTATAGATTTGACATGGGGGTGGGGGCAAGCATTTACATTAAAATCAAATACCCTATGGAACAATTACATAGGTTCCTGTTTCCTTTTACCTAAAAGTCTTATGTATAAAAAATAATCTTATATATGGCATATGTTCTTCCATTGTGCATATTTTTAATGACTAAGTGTGACAGTTGAGCACTTAAGGGAAGTATGTGCAAGTACTAGTTGGTGACATTTTTTTCCCCTCAGATGGAGAGAATCCCCCAAGAAATCACATGACTGAAGCAGGCTACAGCACCCCTGCCCGTCACACTGTGATTAAAGGGGAGAGTTCGGTGATAAAAGCTGGAGTGAGATCAGAGTCAAGGGCAGCCGAGGACTATGTGTCACCTCCCAAGTACAAGAGCAGCTTGTTGAACCGTTACCTTAACGACTCTTTGAGGCATGTCATGGCCACAAGCACTGCCATGATGGGGAAAACAAGGCAAAGGAACCATTCAGGATCTTTTAGCTCCAATGAATTTGAGGAAGAGCTGGTGTCTCCATCATCATCAGAAACTGAAGGCAACTTTGTCTACCGCACAGGTAAGTCCAGGCTTTGTTGTAGTTACGGTGACCTGCGTGAGACAGACATAAAACTGTGGCAGAGGGATTTATTATAACATATAAGAAAGCCATAAGATACATTGAGTGCTGTAAATAATTCTGACACAAAGCTCTTGATTGGTTTTAAACTGGCGATGGGTGTATTTGTTAGTAGATGATGGTCTCAGCCTGAGATATTTTGTTCTCTAACAGTAAGGATAAGAGATTTCAACCTTCCTGATAATTTTTTTGGTTTAATTATTTTTATTTTTACATTTAAATTAGAAACAATGTTGCTTCACATGTTAATCCCAAGACCCTCTCCCTTTCCCTCCCCTCCTCCCACACCCTCCCACCAACCCCCCAATACCCCCCCTCCTTTCCCCAGGGAGTGTGAGGGCCTCTATGGGAGTGTCCATAGTCTATCATTTCATCCAGGGCAGGGCCTAGACTCTCCCCCAAGAGTCCAGGGTGAGAGTACATCTCTCGCTGTGGGATGGGCACCCAAAGTCCATTTGTATGCCAGGGATAAATACTGATCTGCTACCCAAGGCACCACAGATTGCCTAGGCCTCCTCACTGACACCCACATTCAGGGGGGTCTTGATCAGTCCCATGCTGGATATCCAGGCATCAGTCTGGGATTCAAGAGCTAACCCTTGTTCAGGTCAGCTGTTCCTGGGGGTTAAACCAACCCAGTCTTAACCCTTTTGCTCATCAGTCCTCCCTCTCTGTCACTGGGTTCCTTGAGTTCAGCTTAGTGCTTAGCTGTGGGATTATGCCTCTGCTTCAGTCATTGGATGAAAGTTCTGTTTCCCAGACTCTCTGGCCATGGGATTTTAGGCTGGCACTCCCCAGATCTATGTCTAAAGTCCATATAGGAGAGAGTACATACCATATTTGTCTTTTTGTGACTGGGTTACCTCACTCAGGATGGTTTTCATGACGATGATGTGGTAACAGTATTGATTTCTTCACCGTGTATTTTGTGTGAACATCAGTCTATGGGCCTGTGTGTGCCAGATGCCCTCTTCTACCACTCTCAGCTTTATTCCCTGGAGATTTGGTCTCTCATTGGACCTGGATCTAGGTCTGTAGCCAGCAATCTTACTGTCTCTGACACGCCAGCACTGGGGTTATAGGCACATGCCCCATCATGCTTAGCATTTTTATGTGGGTGCTGGGATCTGAATTTGGGTCCTCGTGTTTATGCAGCAAGTTTTCTTTCCCTCTGAGTCATTTTGCTTGCCTGATGATAACAATATTTAAAGGATATACATCTCCCTTTATGAGCAATCCATACAGTGGAGGATTGCACAAATTTTTTATGTACCATCTTTTCTTTTTACATACTTTGGTTGCTAGAAGTGATATGAAGTGAATACAAATTAACACATGTGCCAGCATTTTCAGAAAGAGAAACACAAACCTGGATTCACTTACTTTGAAAATTCCACTTTCATTCCTGGAAAGTACAAGTGGGGCTTATAAATAGCTTTGAAATTTTTATATTCATTCCAGAAATATTCAGCTGATTTCTACCTGTCCAAAGCATTCAGATGGAGTAGCAGGTTGGCCAATATTTCTATCTTGACTTTAACTTAGAGAGATTTGCTTTTAAGGAGTATTTGAGCAGGGTTACTTTTGAAAGAAGGGATAGGTGAGATCTACATTTGGTACTAATGCAGCCTGACTCCTAGAAACACCAGTGAATGAGTCTAATGTTAGATCTGGAGACAAGAAAGCACTCAGCCTAGCCAGTTACACCACAGATGAAAAAACCAACCAAGAGCACACAATGATTGAGCACTGACTGAACAGCACAGAAGAGCCTTGCAAGAGGTTCCAAGAAAGGCCTCTGCTAGCACTATGGTTATATCCACTACCACCCGCCACCACCTGTAGTCATCCTACCACCACCAGTCATTGCCTATAGCTACCCTACCATTAATCAATGCCTATAGTTACACTACTGCCTGTAGCTACCCTACCATTAATATGCCTGTAGTTACACTACTGCCTGTAGCTACCCTACCATTAATCAATGCCTATAGTTACACTACTGCCTGTAGCTACCCTACCATTAATATGCTTATAGTTACACTACTGCTTGTAGCTACCCTACCATTAATATGCCTGTAGTGACACTACTGCCTGTAGCTACCCTACCATTAATATGCCTATAGTTACACTACTGCCTGTAGCTACCCTACTGCCAATCAGTACCTGTAGTTATCCTACAACCACCAGTCATTGCCTTTAGTTACCCTATCATTCATCAATGACTATAGTTACAATTCTTGCCTGTAGCTACCCTACCGCCATTGAGTACCTGTAGTTATCCTACTACCATCAATCACTGCCTGTAGTTATACTTTCACCACCAATCACTGCCTACAATTATCCTTCCACCATCAGTCATTGCCTGCAGTTATCCTTCCATCACCAAGCATTGCCTGTAGTTTTCTTACCACCACCAAGCATTGCCTGTAGTTTTCTTATCACCACCAAGCATTGCCTGTAGTTTCCTTACCACCACCAAGCATTGCCTGTGTTATCTTACTACTACCGATCTTGCCTGTAGTTATGTTACCACCATTAATCATTGTCTGTAGTTTTCTTACCAACACCAAGCATTGTCTGTAGTTTTCCTTCCACCACCAATCATTTGCTCCATTGACAATAATAGTATTTTCCCCAAGAATTTGTTGAGTACCATGTGTGCAACTTCATGGCAGATGTGATATCTAAATTACACTCTTAGAGAACAGTGAGGTAGATAATTCCCTGTCCCTGGAGGCTTTTCTAGTAGGATTTAGTTTGTCTTTTTTGCATTATAAAACTCAGGTTTTTCAAGGTATATTGTATGACAGGGATCAAGTTAGAAAGACTACCAGGTGAAACCTGTTGCTGAAGTGAATGACCAAATAATCTTCTTTGAGGACCACCAAGCATATGATAGTAGAAAGAGAAGATGGAGATCTGGAGGTTCTACCTACACATCAGTTCCTGTAATATGGATGTGGCTTGTGTATGGCAGGTTTTTCTCTGACTACTGGGTCCCTGTCTTTGAACTAATGGCATTTGCTTAACTCTTACTGAGTAGTTAACCCACTACTCCCAATCATTTACTGAGTAGTGACGATACACTTGGCCCTGCTCTGGGGACCACACACCTCTACGCAAACTAATACTGTTGAGGAGCCTGACATGGCAACAGTAGAGCTTTAGGAAGGAATCCACAATAGGACACTGAGTACAGCCTTCTGACTGATTAACCTGAAATCTCCTCTAGTGTCTACAGATGTGGACAGCATTATTATCCCAAAAGTGTCAGGGCATCCTTAAAGAGCTGACTCAACATTTTTCAATTTGCATCTCTAGCTCCCACATACAGTAATCCCAGACATACAGAAATACAAAAACAGCCTTAGAAGCAGGAACTGGGTATAGGAAGAAGTTAAAATAAACACACACACACCATCATGAATTGCTGTGAACAATTTTTGACAGTATACCGTCTATACCTGTGTATATGCAATAAACTGATATTGGCCTTGAAAATAAATGATGAATTCATGAGTAAGAAATTTTTTGGAGGGGTGGTTCGAGACAGAGTTTCTCTGTGATTTTTGGAGGCTGTCCTGGAACCAGCTCTTGTAGACCAAGCTAGTCTCGAACTCACATCGATCTGCCTGCCTCTGCCTCCCAAGGGCTGGGATTAAAGGCGTGTGCCACCACCGCCCTAGCAAGTAAGAAAATTTTATAAATGGCATATAACTATGGAAAAATTCAGGTTTTTAGCCAATCTAGTGCCCCCAAATTATGAATTGATGGGTCTATTGGGTTGTTTTTGTTTTTTTCAAACTTTGAGTAAATAAGTCTTAAGTTTTTCACATTTTCTGGAACATTTAAAATTACATCAAGTGTTTCAGTTTTTAAAAAATGTAAATGTGATCCTAATCCCGACCAGATGAAGATCATATAAAAATATCTTCATGATATAGAGCACTGAGTGGGCTGGACGTTTTTTACAGTTCAAGCTATTCAAACTGCAGAAGCCTGGCATGCATCTATGGCAATACAAATGTGCACATACAGGTACAGCAAATGTGATTTGAAGAAAAATGCAATTAATGAAGTGAGTTAGGTAGCAACTGTCCATTTAGAAAAAAAGATTGTTTCTTACAAACACATTGATATTACCCAGTGAAAGCAAGTAGATCATGTGCCTGCAAAATGCCAGTTATGTTGGGTAGTTTGGAAATGTGTGTTCTTTTCAAAAGTGACAGGACAGTTAGAAGGAACACTATGCCTGTAGCTGACACTTTTCAGACTGAGATACTCGGGCTGTGTGTGTTTCTCAAACCATTCCCAAAGTGCTTCCTCCATAATAAGCACCGTTCAGTTCATCTGCCAGCTCTTTAGAAATAAAGCCCTTTCTTCAGTTATCCAGCCAATGAGAAAGCAACCTAGACATGTAAACTTTTTCATGCTTGTGTGTAAACTTTAAAGGAACAGTCTGATTTTTTTCCCTTAATGTCTAAGCTTGAATAATCAAGAGAGAGTTCAAGAGCCTAAAAGTGCTGTGCCAAGTTTCAGGCCAAACAATAAATGGCTATCTTCAGTGGGGCTGAGCGGTAGCACCTTCCTAGCCAGGTTACCACATGTGGCAACAGAAGCACAGGGGACCCTGAATGCTTTCTGAGTGACCGCTGTGGCTTCCTGGCATCTGAGCCAAATCCTTCATTTCTATCTGGTTATGTCTCTTTCCTCATCAGAACAGAAATGTTTGAAATCTGATATTCACTCACACTCCTACCTCATCTTGCTGTATACAAAGATGTGAGTTCCATTTTAAAAAGAACACTGTAATCAGACATTGCAGATACATTCCTGCCCTGAGATGGTTGGCGAACCAGGGAACATTTGCACAGCCTGACCTTTAGACCGGCCTAGAAGGACCAATGCTCTCATATGCTCCAGGTAGACCAAACCCTCAGCTCTACTATGTCTAGAACTGTGGAAGGGGACATTATTTAGGACCACTCTATATTTGAGCTGATCTTTCTGGAGCCATTATCTTTGTGCCAGTGGTCCCAGCATAATTCTCTGCTTATTTTCACTCTCTGAGTATTCCAGTTCAGACAATGAACCATGCGCCACAGAATCTAGTTTGCTTCCTCTCTAACTCTTCTCTTCCAGCCTTGATAATCTCTATTGCACTTTGGTTTGGACAACCTAGCTTTTTACCATTATGGCCTCATTTTCCTAATTTAGAGTTTATGGCACAAAGTTAATGCTGTGACTGTTTCAATGCCAAGTGTTTGATACTAAAGACTCCAAATGTTTGAAACTCCAAATACTAGTGTGTTGAGATGTCTCAGTGGGGAAAGATAGCTTTTGCCAAGTCTGACAACCTGAGTTAGTTCTTGGGGACCCACATGGTGGATGGAGAGAACTGACTGCTTTCTCTCTCTTACTCTCTCTCTCTCTCTCTCTCTCTCTCTCTCTCTCTCTCTCTCTCTCTCTCTCCTCTTTCTCCCCCCTCTCCTACATCCCCATACACCCTCTTGTGGAGGTAAGAGCACAATTTTCAAGAGTCCATTCTCTTCCTGCATTTTGTGGGTTCCATGGCTAGAACCCAGGGACCTCAGAACTGGTTTATACAGCTTCCCCTGCTGAGTCACCTCAATGGCCCCTTTTGTTCCATTTTATAGTAATTAAAAGATGAGAGGATTAGTCCTACAGACCAATGACAAACCCCAGAGTGGCATTTGTGGCAGGTATAGTATGTCTCCTTAGGACATGAGAGAATGGGTGCCAGGGATGAGGTAAATGTCTCAGAAATTCATGTGGCTGTAGAAACAATAGTTAGTCATGGCAAGGCTACATTTGAAAAAAACACTGTCATTTGGGATATGTACAGGAGAGTCACCAAAAGGAAGACATGAAAGAGAAGGAAAGGATTTAAAAATCTCTTCTGCAATCTCCTGAATGAACAGTGCCTCACTCTAGACGGGGAAAGCTGTGCATCCTTGACCACCAGGTAGAGGGGCCCAGGACTCTCCTGTCTGGCTTTCTTTGCCCTTTGCCAAGTTGTGCTTTGGAGGAAGAGCTGGTGTCTGTGGCCCAAGGGCGAATTCAGTCCTCCTGAATTTGTTTTGTTTTTCTTCTTCAGTAGACCCCTCTAAGATTTTCAGAAAGAACTTCCTGGTGAAAATGAGAAATGGAAGAGAGACGGCAAAGCTTCGTGCCGATGAACAAACTGTGAACTCCTGCAAAACTCTGTGTTACTGTTTGATTGTTGTTTGGGGGCAAGAAGCAAAGGGAAGAAGGGAAGTGTGTGCCTTTTGGAGAGATGCCGAGAGACCCAGGGAATATGTACTGCCACTTTGAGCCCAGGTGACACTGTGGGGGTAGATGCCAGCACCTCTCTGGAACCATCACATTATTGTGGTAAAGAGCTACTGGCAGAGACACTGGCAATCTTGTTCCAGAGGAGCTGAGCACACTCTTCAAGCAGCCCTGTGAGCAGCAGGTATCAGAGAGGAGTGGAGAAAAGGGCGCAGGAGCAGGGGGCATGAGCTGTGGACATCACCGACACCAGCTCCTGGGAGACGTCTAAACCTACACGGAAGATGCCTAAAAATGTAGGCTCCAAGTTGTGGAGCGCCATGATAACTAGGAAACAAACACTATGTGTGCTGTCTCTCCTCAGTGGGATCCATTGTGGCTCACTGTTCAGTGGGCTTGGTTAACAGGATATCCTGGTCAGGCATTGGACGACTGTCTCCAGGTAAAAGGTGGCTCTTCTGTGCACTAATATCCCCCAGTAGAATTTTGGGTAAGGAGACAAATGATTTAGAGTAGGTCATCCAGCACAGTTTTGAAGAGTTCTCCACCTACCACCTCTTCCATCCCTTGGCAAGGAGAGAAACTGCAACACAGTCAGAGAACCCACTTCCTGCATGGCTGTAAAGGTCTCTACAGCTAGAGATGGACTTTGCTGTCAATGATCAATCCTCTCTTCTCCCAGGATACCTGCCTGTGCTGGTAAGATCAAGGACTCTCATCAATGTTAGCCCATTGATTTATACTTTCTCCATATACTGAGTGTTTTGGTCTGAAGGATATTGCTTGGCAGACCATGGTGGTAGATAAGCCATTTAGTGAGTCCACGGAGAGACTGCCAGCAGAAGGGTGATGGCAGCTAAGGCAACCAGATCCAAACGGGAATAAGAGGCTGCTCCAAAAGAAACAAGCACTCCCCACCTCCCCTGGAAGCCGGCCAGTGTAATCAACCTGCCATCTGGCAGCTGACTCCTCGTCCAGTTCTTCATGCCACTGAATCTCATGCTCAGTCACTCCATTGCTCAGGTCAAGATCACATGTCCTTCCTTCCTTATTCCTCAATATCCAGCCCCAGTGAGTCTTTGCTGTACTTGAAGGTGGGCAACAAACTTGCTCTGTCACATCAGTCAAAGTCACTGTCATCTCACCCAGAGTACTGTGATGACCTTCTGGGGCAAGCCTGTTTCTGTGCTATCTATATAATTTGTTTACTGTGTATATGTACACATCTGATATATATGCCTGGGTGAGTGGGTGTCAGCTATCTGCTGTATCATTCTCCTCCACCTTATTCTGTTGAAACAGGGTCTTTCTATCAATCTGGAGCCAGGCTACTGTATGAGATGTAGAGAGAGTAGTGGGAATGTGCACCGTTGACACAAGCACAAGCGTGTCAAAGACTTCAATGCCTCAGCCCCTATACAAGTGGAAAAGCCTTCCCTGAGTGAAACTCAGAGGGATGACAAATTTTCCCCAGGTGTCCAAGTGCAAATGCTGACAGGATATGCAGAATTTCCACCATAGACCCCCCAATATATTCAAGGCCTGAAGACTGCTCCCCAACAGAGACTGATTCTGAGATTAGCTGAAACCTGTCCCCTTGATCCAGCCATAGACCTGGCTCCTTGTTCAGCTGTATGTAATAACCCCACCTCCTTGTGCAGATGTATGCAACGCCCCTGCCTCCCTGTTTAGTTGTATGTAGTGAACATGCTGAGCTTTTGGAATGCTGTGGTTTCTATATCAGAGAACCCAGTCCGCATGATCCCATGCTTTTCTGTGTCTGTGTATTTGTCTTTTACTTGTTCCCTTGATAACCCAGTCAGGTCGAGTCTTTGGAGCTACACTAGTAAATATGGCACTAATAGCCCACAAGTCACAAAAGTCCTCCTGCCTTCATGCCCACAATTCTGTGATCACAGGCATGCCTGTCCTGGTTTTTACATAGGGACTGAGAATTTGAATTCAGGTCTTCACATGTGTTCACAAACACTCTTACTTGTGATGTTGGCTAGTTTTATGTCAACCTGATAGGAGCTAAAGTCATCAGAGAGAAGGGAAGCTCAATTAAGGAAACACCCCCATAAGATAGGGCTGTATACAAGCCTGTAGGAATTTTGCTTAGTTAGTGATTGATTGGGGTGGGCCTAGCCCATTGTGAATGGTGCCATCCCTGAGCAGATATTCCTGGGTTCTATAAGAAAGCAGGCTGAGCAGGCCAAATGGAACAAAGTCAGTAAGCAACACTCCTCCGTGGCTTCTGTATCAACTCCTGCCTCCAGGTTCCTGCCCTGATTGAGTTCCCATCCTGACTTTTTTTGATAATGAACTGTGATGTTGAAGTGTAAGCCGAATAAACCTTTTCCTTCCCAACTTTCTTTGGCCATGATGTTTCCTCACAGCAATGGTAGCCCTAACTAAGACACTTGCTGGATAATTTCTCCAGCCCTACTTTTCCTTGTCTGTGTAATTCTCCGAATATGAGTCAGAGTGACTTTTTTTTTAAGTTTTAAAATTGTGATAAAATTCATGTGAAATTGTTTTACAATCTTAACTATATTTAAGTTTTAGCTCAGAAAGTGTCACTTTGTTGATCAACCAATCTCAAGATCTCTTTTATCTTACAAAACTAGTACTCTAAATCCACCAAAACTCCCATTTCTCCCTAAATAGTGAGGCCATGCACAGTGAATTGCTGTCTCATAAAGGAACAAATAGAGGTGTGTTCCCTTTGCTCCACATACTTGACAGTATGAGTTGTCACTTGTGTTATTGATCTTAGCCATTCTGGCAGGTATAAGATGGAATCTCAAAGTTTTTAGTTGCATTTACCTAATGGCTAAGGATGCTGAACATTTCATTAAGTGTTTCTGGCCCATTTGAGACTCCTCTTAAGAGAATTCTCTGTTTAGATCTGTACCCTAGTTGTTAATTAGATTGCTTGATTTGCTGATTCTTGCGTTCTTTATATATTTTGCTATTGGCCCTCTACTAGATGTAGAATTAGTGCAAATTGTTACCCATTCTGTAGGCTGCCATTTTGTCCTATTGATGGAGTTCTTTACCTTATAGAAGCTTTTTGGTTTCATGAGGTCCAATTTATTAATTATTAATCTTAGTGTCTGCACTGTGGGTGTTATTTTTAACCAATGTGTTCAAGGCTGTTCCCTACTTTCTCTTCTATCAGGTTTAGTATGTCTGGTCTGGTGTTGAGGTTTTTGATCCACTTGGAGTTGAGTTTTGTGCAGGGTGACAAATACGGATTTATTTGCATTCTACATGAAGGCATTCAGTTAGATAAACACCATTTGTTGAAGATGCTTTCTTTTTTCCATTGTTTATTTCTGGCTTCTTTGTAAAAAATCAGGTGATCATAGGTGTGTGGATTCATGTCTGGATCTTCAGTTAGATTTCATTGATCAACCTGTCGGTTTTAATGCCAATATTATGTGGTTTTTATTACTATGGCTCTTTAGTACAGCTTGAAATAGAGGATGGTGATACTTCCAGAAGTTCTTTTATTGTTCAGGATTGTTTTAGCTACTCTGGGAGTTTTGTTTTCCCACATGAAATTGAGTATTGTTTTTTCAAGGTCTGTAAAGAATTGTGTTGGAATTTTGATGGGATTGCATTGAACCTGCAGATTGCTTTTGGCAAACTCATACAGCCACAGTGTAAATCAATATGGCAATTCCTCAGAAAATTGGGAATTGATCTACCTCAAGATCCAGCTATGTCACTCTTAGTCATATATCCATCCAAAAGATGCCCAAGCTTACCATAAGGACATTTGCTCAACTATGTTCATAGTGGCTTTATTCATAATATCCAGAGACTAGAAACAACCTAGATGTCCCACAACCAAAGAATGGATAAAGAAAATGTGGTATATTTACATAATGGAGTATTAATCACCTGTTAGGAAAAATGACATTATGAAATTTATAGGCAAATGGATATATCTAGAAATAAATCATACTGAGCAAGGCAACCCAGGCCCAGAAAGACAAACATAATATGTACCACTCCTAATGGATATTAGCTGTTAAGTAAAGGATTATCACACTATAATCCACAGAACCAGAGAAGATATATAAAGAGGAGAAGTCTAGGCAGGACACACGGATCCCCTTGAGAAAGGGAAATATCAACTGATATTTTGTTGGTGGACAAGGGAAAAGTGGGGATGGGAACAGGGGTATCAGATGGAGGAGAGAGGAACATTGGGAAAGACTATGGGGAGAGACGAATGGAATGGGTAGGCATTTAGGGGTGATGTGGAAGCCTAGTGCAGTAGAAACTTCCTGGAACCTATGAAGGTGACCATAGCAGAGACTGCTAGTAGTGGAGGATATGGAGTCTGAACTTGCCATCTTCTGTAGCTAGGCAAGGCTTTCAGTGGTGGGACTGGAATGCCAGCTCAGCCATAAAACCTTCGACCCACAGCCTGCCCTGCCTGCAAGATGTGCTGGAGTAGGTGGCTCAGAACTTGTGGGAGTGGCCAACCAATGGCTAGTCCAACTTGAGGACCATCCAAATAGAGAGAGCCCACACCAGACACTGCCTGGTGGCCTGGACCCAGAATCAGGATGGCTCAGAGACCTAGAGTAGAACCAAACACAACTGACAAAAAAGAAAGAAAAGAAATAATTCCTGCTATACTCATAGAAGGTACCTAGCCAAACCATCATCAGAGAGGCTGCTTCCTCCAGCAGCTGATGGGAACAGATACAGAGACCCATATCCAAACATTAGTCAGAGCTCAGGAAACCCCACACTAGATGGGGAGGACAATTGATGGGTAGGAGTCAGAGGAATTGAGGACACCAGGAAAACATGGCCTACAGAATCAACTATGTAGATCCTATAGGGAATCACAGAGGCTAAAACAACATCCACGGAGCCTGCATGGATCTATGGTAGGCTCTCTGCATATATGCTGTGGTCATTTAGCTTGGTTTGTCTGATTTTGTTTGATTGTTTTTAACTCCTAATAGTGAATGTAGGGTGTCTCTGACTCTTTTGCTTGTTCGTGGGACCTTTTCCCCTTGTTCTACCTTGATATGATATACCTACTCTTATTTCATCTTGATATTCCATGTTCAGTTGATATCACTGGGTGGCATGCTCTTTCCTGAAGGGAAACAGAAGAGCAGTGGATTTGGGGTAAAGGGAAGATGGGGGATGCTGGGAGGTGGGGACAAAGAGGAGGTCGTGGTCAAGATACACTGTATGAGAGAAAAATAAAGAAAAACAAACAAAACTCTTACAGATGTCTGAGTGAGTCTGGTGGCTCATCCATATAATCTTAGCACTCAGGAGACAGAGGCAGGAGTGTCAGTATTACTGCAAGTTCAAAGTCAGCCTGAACTTCACCGTCAGTTCCAAGTCCTGGACTTGTAGTTCAGGGGTTGAGGATGTGCTTAGCAGTGAGATCAATCACCAGAATCCCATATGCATATATGTATGCACAGACTCGCAAATATTCTTATACACATACAGACAGGTAGTATAGGAAAAGGGCTTCCATTTAGCAATTAGGGAAATGCAAGTGAAAAAACACAAAGGTATTTAGATATCAGCAAGATGATGGACTATGAAGTCTCTCCTTACCCAGAGGGACACTGATTCTACAGTGATAGGGTCAATTCTTCCTGAGAAATCTAGAAGTCAATTAAGATACATGACTACAGGCCAGCTCCATGGAAGCCTAGTGGGAGAGTGCGGCACTAACTCTCTCCTGGCTTAGCATGGTATGATCAAGAGAAAACTCCCAGATCCTACATATCCCTGGGGATGAAGAAAGTTGATTAAACGTGTGTCTAGTGCTTAGAACTTTCAGCCAAGTAGCAGCATGTGGAAGGGGCACAAGCTAAAGGATGCTAAGAACAAAGGCAAGGAGCCGGGTGGTGGTGGCGCACGCTTTTAATCCCAGCACTCGGGAGGCAGAGGCAGGCACATCTCTGTGAGTTCGAGGCTAGGCTGGGCCGACAGCCTCCAAAATAATACAGAGAAACCCTGTCTCATAAAACAAACAAAAAAAAGAACAAAGGCAAATCTTAGGTATCATGCCCTTGCCAGTGTTCACTGTGCTCAGGACAGCCTGTAACTCAGAAGTGCCACACTTGCCTAGCTTGGCTGAAGCAATAGGGTTAGGACTCCTAGACTGAGAAAAGAGAAGAAAAAGAAAACCATGTAAAATTAACCAACTGAATACACCGTAGCAATCTGGAAAGTAAGTTAAGGGGAAAATCTCATTTATAACTATTATAGAACAAGAAATCCAGTGGGAAACTGGGACAGACCAGGAGTGAGCAAAGTGTGGGGGTGGAGTGATAATGATCAGGTACATGATTTACACACATGAAAATGACACACTGAAACCCACTCCTGGGCTGCAGGTGAAACATGGTGTTACAGCCCTTTCCTATTATGTTCAAGGTCCTGGGTTCCATCCCTATTGCCATACACATACCAAAAAAGGCACATTTTTCTAAAATTAGCATATACATACCAAAATGAAAAAGAAAAATCTCTGCAAGAACCAAGAACAAAATAAGAATATATGATGGCCTCTTGAACAGTGGTGAGAAAATTGGATAGCTACATATATAACAGAGGAGGGAAAGTATCCCATGTCTCTCTCCTTGGACAAAAATCAAATAAAAATGGATCAAAGGCCTTAATGTAAGACCTGAAATTGCTAGAGGAAGACATAGAGCTGAAGACTTGAAGATTAAGGGGTCGGCAGAAACTTGCTGAGCAGGGCTCTAGCAATGCAGAATCCCTTTGGTTGACAGATGGGATTACAGGAGACTCAGAAGCTTCTGCTCTCAAACAATGCCATCACCAGTGTGAAAATACAACTCACAGGATGCAGAAGACGCCCCTGCCAACCACACATCAGATAGGTCGTCACTAATAGTTAGAATACATAAGGGATTATGAAAGTTAAACACCAGCCCCATAAACCATCCATTCAATTGGTGTGCTAATAAGTGGAATAAAAATCTCTAAGAAGTACAAATAGTCAGCAAATATGAAACATTGGGCTCACTATCATTAGCTCTTAGTCAAAGGTAAATTGAAACATCTTTTTGAAATTCCATTGTCAGAAGGGCTACCATCAAGAAATCAAATAACAACAAATGCTGTTGAAGGTATAGGGGAAGATAAACCCTTGTAACTGGTTAAGCCACTATGGAAGTTAGTGGGTAAATTCCATAAAAATAAGAATAGGGGCCAGTGATACTGCCCAGTTGAAAAAGACACTTGTTGCCAACCTGGACAAGCCGAGTCCAATCTCCAGGATTCACTTGGTGGAACAAAGAACTGACTCTCACAAGTGATCCTCTGACATCATCAGACATGCT